GGGGGGATTGTGAAGGTCCTCGAGATGGGATTTGAACTCGGGACACCCGTAGCGCAATGGCGCAATATGTCGGCGCACTGCCCACAAGGCTATCGGGCGCTAACGTAGAATTAGATTTTGGACGAATGAGGTTATAATGTGGGTGAAGCTACGTAAAACCACAGGAAGTGACTGACAATATGGCGCATAGCCTGTCAACGTCTGGTTAGGATGAAAAACTAGGAGTTTAAAAGAGTTTCTTGATACTGTACTGCTTAGTGCTAATTATATGAGACATACCACGCTACTGAGCCACTCAAAATTACCGCAAGGGAAATTCCCTCACCGAGACAGCCCTATATGAGAGCATATAAATGTTTATATAATTATTATTAAAGTTGTCACATGTCATAATAATTCGACCTTCTAGTGAAACAACAGACTGACAGACTGGTGATGCATGTTGAACTTCACCAATCATTTAGTCGCTTGAACTCCGCCCCCTTTCTTAGAATCACCTGAAAGCTCACATTCAGATCTGCCTCTATCCAATCAACAACTTGAAGCAAGTCCACGCCTACATTTTTTTCCTGTTATGATAGTCTGCTACACTCGGATGTACGACAATATTTCAGCTTCATCGCAACGTTAAAGTCACCATGAAATCAAAATAGACAACTCCTATTTTTAGTGAAATTTTGTGGTGTTATAATTTATTTGTACAATATTATTGACATTATTTTTTATTAATAGTACTAAGATCGCAGCAACTGGCAAATGACAACGATCCAAGTCCCACCTTACATTTTTATTTTTTTGGTCCGATAAGCCATTTAATTTGGATATGGTTTCACTGCGACTTCAAAGCTTAGTTATCGTACCTGAAGGCTTTAACTTGAGCGATGGCTGTGCTGAAGTCCCGTGCTCTAAGGCTCTCGATGAGTGAGTGGATGGCTGTCTCTGTGCTTGACTGGTCCACTTCAAACTCGCCCACTCCCTCCTGTCCATCACCTACTGACTCTGCCTCCTTCAGACAGCTCTCTAATATGGCCAGCTCCTCTGACATGTTAGTCACCTGAGAAACACACAAGCACCATATTTTAAATCAACATTTAGTCAATATTCTCACAACTCTGACTAAACCACTCATGAAAAATTACCAACTTGCCAGAACACAATCAATCAGTAGAAAAAATCATTAAAGCACAGCATAGTCATATCATATTAAGCATAAACATATTGAAAATTGAAATTGATATTCCTTAGGCAATACGTATTAGCTCAAAACCAGGTCGTCCCAAGCTAAATATATGAGAGCTGTTATATGATTTCTACATAACAGAGGTCGCTGAGGTCTGTGTGTGTATGTGTGCAGTCTATAAAGTGTAAGTGAGTTAGTATCGAAGCGCGATAAGCTGAACGGCTTTGCTCTGGTCTGTGTTAAGCATATCAGTCTCTCTCAGTGAGCATAATGAAGTTATGCTGCACTAAGATCATTATGTGAAGTCAGACCTTTATATGTGTCCATACTGGCACACATTAGCAGAAACTACCATGAAATCCAGAGAGAAAACTGACCATCTTCTGTCTATATGTGTGTGCTGTCAGAGCATCTTGCTGGCTTCATATTAAGCACAATGTTTGTGGCACTCGAAAAAAAAAAAAATTCTTTCTAGCACAATTTTACATAAGAAAAAAAATTAAAGGGACAATTTAGCCAAAAATTTTAATTTAAGGATTTAGTAACCCTCAAGATGTTTGTTCATCTTAGAAACACAAATGTAGATATTTCAATGAAACCTGAGAGATTTGTCGCTGCATTGAAAATCAGTGCAAACAAAACTTTGACGCTTTAAATTAAAAAGTTCATAAAGACAGTATAAAAGAATTCCATCCTTATTTCAATAAATTCAAGTCTTCTAAAGAGACTTGACAGCATTATATGATGAAGAGATTTAATTTAGGCTTTTATTCACATATAAACATTGATGAACACACATACATAGAGCACATCAAATATGGTAAACAGATGACTCGAATGTATGTGCTTGACATGACAACCAATGAGGTTTGTTCTCACACATCAAGCAAGCATGGTTGGGCTTTCGTTTACCATATTTGATATATTCTATGTATGTGCGTTGATTTATCAGGTTTCATTAAAAATATTTTCATTTGTGTTTTGAAGATGAATAGAAGTTTTGTGGGTTTGGAACAACTTGAAGGTGAGTAAATGACTATTTTCATTTTTGGGTGAACCAACACTTTAAAAATGGTACAGACAAACACAGCAATGTATCCTGTGTGAACAACAAATAATTAAGGATACAAGCAGAAACAAACCTCTGCCTCTCTCTTGATAGTGTCCACTCTGCTGATGAGTTTGGAGTAGGCCTGAAAGAGCAGCAGGAGCTGGAAATGTAGCTTATACAGCCGTCGACACAACTCCAGCTCCTAAAGAATCAAACAGAAAGAGAAAGAAAAAACACGACACCATCACCTTAACATCTTTAGTTTTAGTCATCTGCACAGTCAGCAGCAAAACTGCGTAATCAGATGAACGGACGGCAAGATGAATGAACAAATGGAGGGATAGACGGATGGATGAACATCCTGGCTTTGAGACGGAGAGAAGGGTTAGCAAGGTAACACCCTGGTCAATCACTTTGTAAAACGTGGACAATGTATGATTCCCTTATCAGAACGAAAAAGTCAGAACTGAATTGCGTGATCCAAAATATGTCAGGAGTGAGCAGAGGGGGCAGCATGGCAAGGAACAAGGAATCTAAGCTACTTTTCTCTTCCGTCCTCCGCTCAGATGTCCATGGACACACTCCAATCACACACTGAATGCATGTGTGTCAAATTTCTAGAAGCATTAAAAACACTAATAACCCATTAGCAAATTAGCAAAGTCAACACTGTAAGTATGCAGAACTCATTTAAGCCATTAAATAATGAAGTTCATTAATGAAGCATGTAGTGATGATATATGAATGATCATGAATTAGTAGTGGTGTTAAGAGATCAGATGTAGGGGTTGTTCTGAATTCTGATTGGTTGTGCTGATGTATCAGTGAAGAACAGATGAATGTTCAGTGTGCGTGGCTGAATCGAAAAGGATTGTGACAGGCTCTAAAATATGATAAACCACTTACTGCTAGCATTTCCATTTGCTAAGCAAGAAGGATAGCAGGTCACAAAAAGAGGAAACAGGAAATGAGAGAAAGACCAAAAATTAGTGTGCTGATAACACCCCAAGAACACCGTAAGAGAGAGATAGAGAGAAATATTGCAGTCTGTTGGTAATTAACAATGACACAAATATTGCAGTCACATGCAATGCATTCTGTTTTCCTCAGTTTCATGTACATTTGTAACATTGCTAAATATATGCAAAATAGATAGAAAAGGGAAATTAAAGAGAGTGAGAGAGGTTGAGATAAATGCAAGTTTCAGTAAGAAAGAAAAATATCAACTGTGGCATCACAAAACTGCAAAAGCGCTTAACATCACAGAGAAAATAAAAGTGCTGTTTGCTGGTACAGCAGTGACTAGGATGAATAGAGGAGTAAGACATGGAGAGCATAAAGGTCATTTAGCCTCTACCATAAGAGATGGGTTGACAAAGAAACAGTGCATACTCCAGTCTTCAGTGTCACATGATTTTTCAGAAATCATTCAAATATGTTGGTTAGAACATATTAGAATGATAATTCCCCCCCCAAAAAAGTTAAAAAGAACAGCATTTATTTGAAATTGAAATCATTTGTAACATTATAAATGTCTATACTGTCACTTTTGATCAATTTAATGTATCCTTGTTTGATAAAAGTATTAATTTCTATTAATGACCCTAATCTTATGCACTAGTAGGGGTGGGCATCTTATTTCATTATATATATATATATCTTATTAAAAATAAGAAAAAGAAGCAAATTACAAACACAATAGAACAAATAAATATGAAATAAGTAACAGAACGATCAGCTGCCCTTAAATCACCTCTGCTTACATTCATACACAGGTTCTTGCATTCTTCTTTATCTCTTAGAGATGAATAGAATTGTTTAGAGCACAAATGTTCACATCTGTCTGCTCAAACAGAAACATGCAGTGAGGTAAGTGTGTGGAAATGTTTAGTTTTTTTTCTACCTGAGCTTGAGTGTTTGGTCGCTGGTTACTGTCTTTATCACCGAAGGTCTTTCTGCAGTTATCCAACCACTGCAAGGGAAGCAGAAATGATACACCTTATTAAACAAAAAGCAGAAAAGTGCAGGTGGAAATTTCTGATGTTGTGAATATGAGCAAAGACAGATGACGTTTCTGTGAGTGCGAAACAGAAATACAGGGAGAGACGAACAGTGCGTATGGGAGTGTGCGTGAGGTAAATTTAATAAGAGTCTGCTACTTAGCAAATTAAAGAGGGTCTGTTTAAGCACAGAGGGGGTCAGCACATAATGCTCTAGAGGCAGTGCCTGTGTCTCATCCAATTACTGTCCTCTAGTCATCCACTATCCCATCTGCCCCCCTCTACTCCCCTTCCTGAGCCTGTCCACCCAGCTAAATGATTTAGGGTCTCCGTGAGGCTATTCTTAGTGACCGTGCATGAAGAGAAATTGGCTGCTGTAGATTCTAGATGGGTGCTAACGGAAGCTAACGCTGGCTAAATCAACTCACGACCTTATATGATTTAGTAGCCCACAATAACTGCAAAGAGACGTCAAGGAGCATTTTATGATCCTGCACTGTCAGCTTATTCTCCTCTGCTGTCTCTCCTCCATTGCATAACCTCAACATCCCCCTTTAAAGATGGGTTTAAAGATGAAACCTTAACTAACAGACTGCACAGGAAATTCCCATTTTGTTTATGGGTATAGCTGAAAATCATTGTACCGTTTCTGCCTTAATGGAAAAAAAGATGTTCTTTTATTATTGCATTAGATTTAAAGAAAGATTTTCTGTGAGTAACTTAAATTTGGGTTTGTTCCCTACTCAATGATATCATATGGCTTCGAAATACTTGAAATAAAGCACACAATTTGGAAACACAGCAGTATTATACACTTAGTATCTCACCTGTTCGGCTGCTTCTCTCTTGCTGTTGTAAGTGTCCAGATGCTCTTGTAACTCCAACACACTGAACTTCAGAGTCTCCAAGAGCCCACAGGAAACCAACTAAAACACACACAGTTTAAGAGTTTACTAAACATACCAACATGTTATATTATTGCATACTATCACACTGATATAATCTTTGTAAACAGGCAAGTGTAACTATACAACTAACTGTAATTTTCAGATGTGAGGTGCAGAGGAAGTGTACACTCACAGTTTCAGCATCAAGTAGGACTGTAGGGCACTGGGAGCAGGAGGTCATGACCTCTAGAGAGCTCAGGAACTGGTTTCCCATTCGTTGGAGCCCCTCGCTAAGGAAACTTACTGAGGCATGGGTAATCGAGTCAAATTTCCTCTGAATGTGCTAAAGAGACAGGAGACAATCAGTGACTCAGTACTGCAGAAAAACACCAAGCTATGAATCAGTCAAATAACAAGCTAAGGTAAATAACACTTACACAAATTTGATTATGAAATAAAAATTTAATTGTGTATTTAGGATTCATAAAATGCTAGTAATTTAATTAACTGTATGGCAAGACAGTAGTTTGACAATACATTCCAAAAATGCTTAAAATGGTGATTTGTGATTTGATATGCTAAACATAGCAGTACTTTCTTGTGATGCATGTCAACACACTGCTGAAAATTATATGTAGACAAATAAACTAACGACAGTTAAAAAGTGTTTATTAGTCCATACAGCCAAAAGTTACATAGTTTAAGAACACATGTATGTAAGTAGACTTCCATTCAAAAGTATGGTGTTGGTAAGATTTTTTTTTTAATGTTTTTGAAAGAAGTCTCTTATGCTCACCAAGGCTGCATTTATTTGATAAAAGTACAGTAAAAACAGTAATATTGTGGAATATTATTAACATTTTGAATACATTTTCTATTTAAATATTTTAAAATGTAATTTATTCTTGTGATGGAAAAGCTGAATTTTCAGCAGCCATTACTCCAGTCTTCAGTGTCACATGATCCTTCAGAAATCATTCTAATTTGTGACCCTGGACCACAAAACCAGTCATAAGTGTCAATTTTTCAAAACTGAGTTATACATCTGAAAGCTGAATAAATAAGCTTTCCATTGATGTATGGTTTGTTAGGATAGGACAATATTTGGCCGAGATACAACTATTTGAAATCTGGAATCTGAGGGAATCGCCTTTAAAGTTGTCCAAATGAAGTTCTTAGCAATGCATATTACTAATCAAAAATTAAGTTTTAATATATTTACAGTAGGAAATTTACAAAATATCTTCATGGAACATGATCTTTACTTAATATCCTAATGATTTTTGGCATAAAAGAAAAATCTATAATTTTGACCCATACAATGTATTTTTGGCTATTGCTACAAATATCCCCCTGCGACTTAAGACTGGTTTTGTGGTCCAGGGTCACATTTGCTGATTTGTTGCTCAAGAAATATTTCTTAATATTACCAATGATGAATATTTTTGTGGAAACCGTGATACAATTATTTCAGGATTCTTTGATAATTAGAGAGTTTAAAGCAACAGCATTTATCAGAAATCTTTTGTAACATTATAAATGTCTTTAGTCACTTTCCTTGCTGAATAAAAGCAATACAAAAACCTTACTAACACAAGATTTTTGAACTGCAGTGTATCTGCACGAAACTGTATATTAATATTCATATAATGTGCAGGTACAGACTCACAAACACTCTCGTTTTTACCTGGAAGAGTCGTGAGAACACATGGAAGGTGTAAACAGCACAAGACCCATCCGAGTCCGACAACATCTGGTTGACATGGCAACGCCAGGCGTCCTCCTCATCATCATAGGCTACGGGTTGGAATGCTGCCAAAATAGCCGAAAGAAAGGGCGACGGAGGTGGAGAGGCCTGCAGTTCAGGAAAGCCGTCTGCATCGCCCTCATCTTGACTGTAAACAGAGATGGAAAGAGCAAAACTCAGACACATAGAGACACGAGCACCAACACAAAGCGTTACATCATTCACGAAGGAAAAACGTAAACAGAGACATGCTGTTCTTTCTATCAAGCTCTCCCTCCTCTCTCTCCCACTCACTGCAGATGTCCTGTGCTGCAGTGTTGTTACAGTCCAAATCTACTGCAGAGGCACAGAAAAACAACATACAGACAAACACACACTTACAGGCCTGTAGGGCCGAAGAGCTTGATGAAGCAGACCGAATAGAAAAATCTGAGACCAGTGCTGCTGAAGGATGTGGAGGACATTGCCTTCATCTTCATCTTCACTAACAGCTTTTATCGTTCCCTTCACTCTCTTCCTGCTCTGATGCTTTTTTTCGCCGTTCCCTCTCCGAGCTTTTCACCTCACGTGTTAGCCTAAATTCTCCCTCTGCGTTTGTGACGTTCTCTGTTTTTCCCTCTCACTCCCTCCCCCACCCGCTGCTGCGCCGCACACGAGCGGTTCCCACACACGGCTACAGGCTCTCTTTCTGTTCAATGGATCTCAGCCGTATAAAGTTGCCAGGAAGAGCACAGAAAGGCCCTCATCACACAGTGCATGCGCAAAAATCTAATTAGAGCCCTTTGCTGAATCGCTGCCTATAATTTTTATTAATCGATCATGGAAGAGCCGGACACATCAGGGCTTAGGGGATGATAAATAGCACTGCAGAAGAAGTGTGTGTGTGAGAGTGCGTGTATAAGAATGATTAAAGTCAGTTTGTGGAGGCACTTTCTGATGTGCTCACGTATAGATGGCTGACCTTCAAGAGCAATTATGTTGCCAAGTATGAGATCACCATTCACAGCATTAATAAAACTCATCCTTATTATTCATGGCAGAAGATAAGAAATATGTTGAATGGTATTAAATGGTACAGTACCGACTACGAGCCAAAAAAAAAAAAGTCTAAAGATCCAAAGTAAACAGTGTTATGTACAGCTGTAAATGGGGTCCAAAACATTTTGTGATCTGTTCACTTAAATCACATTTGGAGGAAGTCAGAAATGAGTATGACCACAATGTATTTGCAGTGTTAATGCTAATCCGTAATGATCAGTCAAAGAAAATAATGTGTTCATAATAAAGTTTGGAAAACTCCTATATTATATACATATAAACACATACGACTTCACACAGGTTTGCCTCACACCATGTACTGTTATGACATCAAAGGTAAAATAAATCTGCAGTCCATTTGAAAAATTATGTTTATGTGAAAAGTGAAATTAAAATTTGGAGGAATATCTGAAAACAACAATTTATACTTTGGGTATTTACACTACCTTTCAAAAGTTTAGGGTCAAGATGATTTTTTTAAATAAATTAATACTTCTATTCAGCAAGGATGCATTAAATCGATCAAAAGTGAGAGTGAAGACATTTGTAATGTTACAAACGATTTCTGTTTCAAATAAATGCTGTTCTTTGGAATCTTCCATTCATCAAAGGATCCGGGGAAAAAAAGTATCATGGTTTCCTCAAAAAAAAAAAAGTAGTTTTGCCACCACAGATATAAATTACATTTTAAAACATTTAAATAGCAAAAAGCTGTAATAGTATTTTACAATATTACTGTTTTGACTATTTTTGATCAAACAAATGTCAAACAAATCTTACAAACCCCAAACTTTTGAACAGTAGGGTACATAATTCCCTTTTTAACAAACCTTTTGCCATTTGTGCTATTTTAATTCTACTACTCTCTCAAAACGTTGTGAGCGGCCTAGAGAGCATATTAGGCGACCAAAGTGGTTACAAATAATAGGGAATTAAAGGCATCTGGGCAGCCTTTAACTGAGTGCAGGGCTCGCAAAATCGTTAGCCCGACGTCCCGTGTATTGTGTTTTACAGTTGGGCTACCAAAATGTATCACTGCCCTGCCCGACGGGCTATCTTGAAGTGATATAAAATCCCTTCCTTAATTCGAGTTGTTCACTCGCTTGTAGGGGTGAAACAGATCATAGTTTATCATTTACACGTGTTTCTAAGTCTTACCAATTTAAACATTCAAGCGTTTTAAACCATTCATGCGCATGAAGAATTCAGTTCGGTGCTCGCGCGCACACGCTCAAAGCGCGCACATACAGAGCAGCGTTTCAGGCAGAGCACGAACACAGAATTGATTCCTCTTTCGCTTGAACGGACACATACATGCAAAATTATCTCAAAATAACTATCTCGGCAAGTATTTTCATGTCTTAAATGAACGTAAACAGTGGAGAAAGAAAATCGCACGTGCATCATTATATTGGATCCGTGCATTAGGTCTTAAAGGGGCAGCAGCCTATAAATACCTGTAAATAGCCTATCATTCAGCCCATCTGCTGTTTTTGTTTCTTGTCAGACCATTTTGTTTTTGTTTCAAATTTCAACATTTTGTTTGGATCGTGATTAAAATACACAGGCAAAACCTTAGTTTACTTGCATGGAGACATTTATTTTATTTATTTATTTGATTTGGGATTTGTTTTAAAATTTCAAGTTAGCATATTGCTTGACATGTTCAGTTTCACAAAGTAATGTGCAGCCTTTTAGTCTTAGAAATAACAAAAGGACACTTTTTGTCTTAAATCTCATTTTGTTAAAAAAGAAATTGTGAGAGAATTGTATTGTGAAATCAGTATCGTGAATCATATCACATTGTGAGTTG